TCTACTGAACCAAGTTTGGCCAATCACGAACATGTGCAAATTATTCCTAAAGGTCACCCAGTGGAACACCAAGGATTACATAATGCTAATGGAAAAACAGCCCAGGTACCGGATACTGGTGCTGTAGATCATTTGAATCCAACAAGAGATCACCAAGAGTTACCCGAGCATCAATTGAAAGTCAGGGATGATTTGAAAGCACAACCTTTTGATGGTAAGAGTGAAACATCAACGCCAACTAGTGAAAAATCTACTAGTGAGCAAGGTTATCACAGTTTGAATCCTGTAAATTATGATCATGATTTGTCTGGACATCAATTGAAAGTCAGGGAAGACTTGAAGACACCACAAGCTTTTGATGGTAAGACTGAAACAACCACGCCAACTGGTAACCAACAACTTTCATAATGTAGACTTGTTAAATCCAACCAACAATCAACAAGGACTTCCTGCTCACCAACTAAATGTCAGAGAAGACTTAAAACCACAAACTTTAGATATTAAACCACAAACAACTGGTTCACAAAATCCCACAAACTTGGACTTGTTACAACCAACCAACAGCCAACCTTTGTCTACACACTTGCTGCAAGTACGTGAGGAATCCAAACCTGCAAATTCAGACCTAAATCCACAACCCAAACCTCAAACTTTGGACGTCAATCCTGCTTTGTTTAATCTACATTCACTCAAAACTTCACCAACTGGCCAACTAACCCTAGACGCTTCTTCTACTACTACCACAACATCTCCCAACCTTGATCATCATTCAAGACTGAGACGTCAAGACAATCCTACGTTTGAGACTCACAAACCTGATCAAAAAACTGAACAAACCCATCCTCAAACTAGCACTGAAGCCTACTTAAATAGAAAAGTCAGACAGGATATTCTGTTGTTGACCAGACCGTCTCCTGTAAACCCTGATGTTGTCTCTGAGCCCAAACCTGATGAGAAAGTTGTGGAAGATCATACCAGAGTTGAGAGTTGGGACAAACCTACTGAGAAACCTATTGAAAGGCAAAGGAGATCCAATGAGGACCATAAACATAATTTGAAACAGAAACCTGAGTATGTTGTGAGGACTTCTACATCCGCACCAAGGGTTTCATCCACCAGTGGTCACCAGGAAGTTAGCACCAAGGCAACGAATGTGAGGAAAACTAGGCAAACTTATGACTCGTCTGAGGAGCAAACATCTTATGATCAACCTGAGACTTATGATAATTTCAACTCTCAGCAGACACAAGAGGAGGAATCTGCAGAAGATAGTGGTGAATACCAACCAGAACCACAAAGGTAAGGGATACTATATTATTTATGACAAAATATATGACTTTTAATATTATTTGATATTTTTAGGTACCGTCGTGCAATCGACATCAAATCAACTTGAAAACGAATCTTTAGTCAAGAAAACCGTGAAGAATATGAAGAACACGAGAAAACCGATCGAGATTTTGAAGAATCACCACCAAGGGAAGTTAGTTAGATGTGCAGGATATGCACCTACACCGACACCTGGCCACCAAATGCCAAGGAGATAAAGCTAAATGTGGCGGATTTGAGACTACAAATCCAACTACCAATTTAGACAAACACGAAGACCACCATCACGAAGTTTCAACTAATCCAACTTCCGATTCAAACAAAATCATCATCAGGAAGTTCCGGCCAAAAATAAAAGAAGCACCACGTGTTGTCGGATCAGATTGCACACCATCCACTGTTGAACCGAGCGAAAGACGTCGCAAACCAGGCACAGGAATGTCTACTACCCAGAAACCTTTACGGTCCTGGACAAATGAGACCGAAACGTGATGTCCAAACCACAACAACTACTTCACCATTGGATAAAACCCACAAATGGAGGAGGAGAACATTCAAATAACTGTGGTAAATCCACCAGAGGTTCCGGTGCAAAAGTTGATAAGAATGTGAGAAAGACTAGGTCTGCTGATGGTAGTGGAGTTAAGGAGGATGCTCAGAAGCAACAAAATGGCAAGTTGGCAACATTATATACGATTGTTAAGAACTTTTTATTATTCTAATGGACTATTGTAGATATAGTTGATCAGTAGATTGTAGTTTGATCAGAATTAAATATTTTAAATTTGAAAGTACTTGTTGTAATTTCATTTGCAGACAATAAACAACTCTAAATTGTTGCAAAATTTTATTTTTTTATTCATCTTTCTTAGAAAGTGGCGCCAACGGCGCTTCGTTGAAACTGCAAGTACCTGGTGAAGCCTCATCTTCTGGATCACAAAAACAGCAACAAGAACATGAATTAAATGCAGCAGAAACAAATGCTTGTGTTGGTTTGAAATGTGGTTTTTGGCATAACATAAAACAACGTGAGTAGAAGACTTAAGCACCATTTAAATATTCTACAGTACATCCTGATCTATGAGACGGTCAAGTGCTTGTACCAATCAATAATTTATTATTAAATATTTCTTGTTTTTAGAACTGTCCCTCCGACTCAAACTCCAGGTACTCAAAAACCGACAATGCCTCCAGCAACAATGGTACCTCCCACGCAAGCCCCAGGAACAATGCCACCAGCAACTGAACCTCAACCTTATGGTTCGAAGAATGATCAAATGTTGACTGTTCGTCCAATCGCAGGTTAATAGAAATACATATATACATATATTTATTAATTAGTTGATAGTTATTCAAATTGTATTTTATTACCAGGACATACCATTCTGGTTCCTTCGTCAACAATGAGTGGAACCACATGCCAGGACTGCTCGACAAGCTATGGACAGCAAACAAGGTACAAGATAAATAGACAGATGATTAAAATCAATTTTTACTCGTAATTATTTATACATTTTTTTACCTTCTAGTTCAAACCACAATGGTTCCAGAAAAGGAAGTCTTCCCGTCAGACCCTGTCACTAAATCATCAGTCCCCATGACAAAGACTCCAGAAGAATTAGCAAAGCAGGAAGCTTATGACAAAGAAGGTCCTCATTTTGTACGACCAGTACCAGTGCATGATATTTTAGGTAAAATTGCACAGCCAAAAAATCAGAGTAGGGATAAAAATGTTGGCATGAAGAAGGAAGATGTAGATAATACTACCGAGAAGATGTAAGTTGTTGGTAGTGTTATTTTGTTAATGATTAGAATATTTCTTGTATTATTATGATATAGTAGTTTGTAGTAAATATTGTAAATTTTGTACTATATATAGAAACAAATAATAAATATAGTAAATATTTTATATTAATGACAGTGTTATATGTATTTAGTTTACAGGATTCATTTTGAATTATATATTTACACAAATTTTCTTTTTACTCAATTTGAAAATGATATCAAATCCTTGGTTTTTTTTAAACAAAGTTTTTGCTGTTTTATTTTTTATGAAATATTCAAAGGTATCTATCCACAGATTTTATTTTTATGAAATATTTATAGATATTACATTATATTTTTATTAGTGATTCATATTTTTGGCAATTATTATAGGCATAATTTTATTTAGTTTATAATTATTATATATTAATTTTAATCATTATATATATTAAGCATTAATTATTCAAAATACAATTTATGATTCAATTTTCAAAATTTATTATAATATAATTTAAAAAAATTCAATAAAATCTAACATGGGAAATTTATGTTTCAATTTCAAAAAATGAAAAATTTTCCAAATATCTAATAAATAATACATATACTCTTCTTTTATCTATGATCTAATATATTTTATTTTTTTATAATTTATTTTATTATTTTTAAATATTTATCAACATTATATTTTCATTAGTAATTAATATTCTTTGCAACAATCACATAATTTTATTTAGTTTATAATTATATATCTGTTTTAAACATTTATATATGAATTAAACAATAATTTTTCAAAATACAATTTATGCTTCAATTTTCAAAAAAAAATATAATTAAGTTTACATTTTTTTTATAAGAATAAAGTTGCCAATATTAACATAGGTTTCTGGAGGCATTCATTTTTTATTATATTTTAAACAAATAATTACATTTCTTTTTAAAAAAACTGAAATAAATATTTACTTAGCTGCATATACATTAACATTTTTTGTGAACTTTAATTGATGCCCTTAAAGTGGTGAAGATTATTTAATAATTTAATAATTTTATACGGTATCATAAAAATATATTATAAATTAGTATTAGTAAGAATTGATCAAATTTTCATAAATGCAGGTCTGGCGGTTTCGGAGATCTAACGAAAAAAGTAAAAAAAAATGCTATTTGGCGGTCAAAAATGATCATTAGATATATGCACATCAAATTATCAGATATTTTATAGTTATAGTTATAGATATTTATAAGTATAAATTTTGTTTACATTCCTATGGGTTCCGTACCAATGTTTATCCGTTAGACAGCGACGGGGCGCTTACGCGCTTTATATTTTGTCTCTATGCAGTTAGAGCAGTACGATTGCTTTGAAAAAAGTTTAGATCTTCCAAAATATGTCAAAATAAAGAAAAAAAAAGTGATTTTTTGTCCAATTTATAGTTTGTCAAAAATCTTATTTTTTCGAAGTAAAATTTTTCCAAAAATGTTAATCGTTTTTAAAAAAATAATAATTTTTGGTAAGGAAAGTACCAGCAATTGGCCTTAAGGCACGATGCCTTAATTGCCTTAAGACAAAATTCCACTTACAGCTAGTTTGTAGTATTGTAGTAGTAATCATTTATCGTTTATATTAGATGTTAACTAACTAACTAACTACATTAACTATAGTAGAAACAAGTAAAATAACTATATACTTTAATAAGGCACAAAACTTGCACATTTATATTTACGTTTTTTGTGCACAAAATAGTGTATAAAAACAAAAATAAATTCAAATAATGTAAAACATATATGTATAATAATATGCATTAATGTCTGCAATATCCCTTATGTTAACCTTTGTGTGGAAGCACCCTTACCATTACTTTTCAATGTCAATGTCAATCTCCACGTGCGTCAATCTGACAGTTGACAGTTGACAGTTGTGATGGGTCGGAGGAGCCAGTTGTGTAATTTTTGTTTATTCGATTTTATTTGATATTATGTAGAATTAATTAGAAATAAAATGCTAAAAACATCCACAAAATTCGGAAAATGCTTCAGATAATGTAAATTTAGTAATTTAGCGACAAAATTCATCTCTAAATTCACAGTTACAACTTCAAGGTTAGAGGAGGAAAAAGAGGAACAAAATGGTAAAGAAAATTAAATAGAAAAAATATTAGTATAAATTCATGTTTTATTCATTTACTTGAGTATTGAGTGCTTTTTGCTTAAAGTTTATAGTATTCTTTTCCCTATAAAAAGAAACTCATGAATATAGTTGTCAATACAAAAGTCTTATTTAATATTCAATAAGATTTGTTATCATTATTTTGTACTATAAATTATTGAGGAATTACATTCTTACATTATTATTCTTACAATGATTTGACTAATAGAAATTATATGTAAAATGCAATAATTACGCATAATAAACCTTGTCATAAATACAATTGAATGTATCACAGGTATGTATCACAAGTTTACAATATCAGATCTACTACTCTTACTTCTCTAATATAATCATCTACTCATTTCTATTCAAGAAAATCAATTGTAAAAAATAGATATTTTTATTTCTACCATATTGTAGTACATAAGAAAACTTGTCACAATTACAATTGAATGTATTACAAGTTCACGATATAAAATTCTCTAACTTTTCTTATATAAGTACCTACTCATTCTATTTAAGAAAATCAATTATAATCTATAGATATTTTTAATTCATTTAATAAATTATTAATCATTATATTTATATTGCGGAATGAATAAAACAATAGCTTTAGTTAAAGTGGTAAAAGCTTTGGAATTGATATATTGATACTCTTGATTTTATAAATGATAGTATTGCTTTTACTTTTATAATTATTACAACATTAATGTTTAAGTTATTTGAAAATGTAGTAAGCTGTCTGATAATGTATGCTGTATTATGTACAATCATTGCGTGAAATTTATATAGTAACCAAAAGATATAAATAATAAGTATTAACAAAATATCTTTTATATATTTTAGCTTAAAACTTTGGACACAATCGCAAACACTCTATCACCACACAAAAATTTGGTAAAAATGACTTATGTCTTATTATACTTGATGAATGATTTATACACAATAAAAAAAAATATAAATCAATTACTTGATTAGGAAAGTTAATTAGCTATTAAAAATGTATAAAATTGTCGATGTAAATTATGTTGTACATTGTCAGAAATTGTTGTGAGTTGTTTGAAAATGGGTACTTGGATTGTCTGAATATGTTGTAGTTGTCTTAAAATGTAGGAAATTGCTTGAAAATATTTGTAAGTGGTTTATAGATGTTATAAGTTGTTTAAGAATGTTGCAAGGTTCTTAAAATGTTGTAATTAGGGGAAAAATGTTGTTGCGAGTTACTTGAGAATATTGTAAGTTGTCTAAGAATGTGGGAAATTATATTAAAATGTTGTTAGATGCCTGATATATATATATATATATGTGTGTTGTAAATTATTTAAAATTGTTGTAAGTTGTCTGAAAATGCTAAAGTTGTTTGAAAATGTTATAAGTTGTCTGAAACTCTATAAGTTTAAGGGGAAAAATGTTGTTGCGAGTTACTTGAGAATATTGTAAGTTTTCTAAGAATGTTGTAAATTATATTAAAATACTGTAAGTTATATTGAAATGTTGCAAGCTGTTTAAAAATGTTGTAAGTTAGTTTAAAAATATTATAAATAATCTCAAATTGTTCTAAGTTGTCTGAGAAGATTGTAAGTTATCTGAAATGTAAAGTTATAAATTTTCTAATAATATTGTAAGTTGTCCTAAAAGGTTGTGAGTGACATGAGAATGTTGCAAACTGTCTGATAATGTTTTAAAATGCATGAGAATGTTGCAAATTGCCTGAGAATGTTGTTAAATGTTTGAGAATGTTGTAAATTGTCTGAAAATATTGTAAATAATCTGAAAATTTAGTAAATTGTCTGAGAATGTTGTAGGTTGTCTAAGAAATCAAAAAGTTGCCTAGAAATGTTCTAAGTTATCTTTAAATAAATATATAAATAAATAAATATAATTTACCTGGAAATGTTATGACTTGTTTTAAAATGTTGTAAGTCGTCTAAAGATGTTGTAAGTTGTCTAAGGATGTTGTAAGTTGTCTAAAAATGTTGTAATTGGTCTAAGTAAAAAGCAAATGGTTTTAAAATATTGGTAATTTATTGGAAAATGTTTTAAGTTACTTAAAAATATTGTCAGTTGTCTTAAAATGTTGTAAGTTGTCTAAGAATGTTGTAAGTCGTCTTAAAATGTTTTTAAGTTATTTGAAAATGTTGTGAGTTGTCTAAAAATGTTGTAGATTGTCTAAAGACTTTGTAGATTGTCTGAAGATTTTGTAGATTATCTGAAAATGTTGTAGATTATCTGAGAATATTGTAGATTGTTCGAAAATGTTATAGAAAATAGACTGCCTGATAATGCTGTAAGTTATTTGAAAATGTTGTAAGGTGTCTGATAATGTATGCTGTCTAAAAATGTTATAAGTTGTCTGAAAATTATGTAAGTTGCCTGAAAATGATGCAGATTAATTGAGAAAGATATAAAGCTTCTGATAATGTTGTAAAAGGTCAATAAATGTTATTATGAGAAGTTTGTAGATTAAAAGAGACATCAAGTGGATTATGAAAAATCGAATGACAGCATTATGTAAAATTATTGCCTACAATTTATAAAGCAACCACAAAATATAAATAATAAGTATTAACAATAGATTTTTCATCTTTATTATGTACAATCATTGCATGAAATTTGTAACTAAAAGATATAAATAATAAGTATTAACAAAATATCTTTTATATATTTTAGCTTAAAACTTTGGACACAATCGCAAACACTCTATCACCACACAAAGATTTCCTCGGGATGGTGGCAGGTTTCATGACAGTCCTACAATACATGTCTGGTTCGTTAGTTTGCTGTGAAATCATTAAAAAAAGGAGCACCGAGAATATTTCAGCTGTGCCATTCATCGGTGGATTGGTTGTGTATGTTTAGAATAAGATAAATAGAAACAGTAATAAATAATTTTGATATTCCTTAGGGAAGTATACAAAATATTATTTCTCTATTTTTATCACCAGGAGCATTCTAAGTTTCCATTACGGCTGGATACTCCGAGACACAACAACAGTATACATAAGTTTAGTAGGAATGCTTTTCAATCTGTTTTACCTGATGATTTACGCCAGTTTTTTGGACTCCGAACACACAGGCAGAGACGTGACCAAGAATGTCAACTATGCTGTTGCCATTACAGCCACCTGTATCGGATATGCCTGGTTTAAGACCCTGCTTTAGTTGAGTTCAGGTAAAGATGTTTAAAAGCCACTTGATAATAATTAGATAAATAAATAATTAAATTAGTAATTGGAAATTATTGTTATATTGATTATTGTGTATTTTTGTAGATATGGAATGATCATCACATGTCTTAGTTTGATTTTAATGGCTTCTCCACTCTTCCGTTTGGTAAGAAGATGACTTTTATACATTTGTATATATGTATATGTATGTATATATATATATATATATATATATATATATATGTCAAATTGAATTATTGACTGCATCAATTGTCAGACGCATGTTGACTGTATCTTATATTATTTTAATTTTTGCCACATCTCAGCTGCTTTTTGGCAATAATAATGTAGACATTACATTTTTATTATTCATAATCATAAATATATTATATTTTAATATTGTCTTAGCCTATAAGTGAATTGAAATGTTGGTAGATGACAGTCTTTATTTGTTTTTAATGTTAAGGGGTTCTTCCTATGTGACGGCCTGTTTTTTATGGGATTTTAGGATTTTTTTTCTACGACCAGTAAATATTTAGAGCTTCAAGTATTTATCATTTAATAACACATATTTGGACAGTATAAATATAAAATTTCAGCTAAAAATATTCAGTCAAACTAGAGTTACAGCGCTCTGAACACCCCGCCTCGAAAAAAAGAGCTCCCACTTCCTCCACGATTCCGGCTGATCGCTTATCTGACCAAAAAAAAATAAACGGCGCGTTTTAATTTGTAGGCTTAAAAGCACGGAATGACCTATAATCAAATGAATATAAAAAAAATTGGATTTTTGATGGACATTTGAAATAAAAGTTGCAAATTAGGCGTTTTTTTTTTTGTTTTTTGCTATAAAAATTCGAAGTTTGAAAATTGATAATAGTTCATTCCATGTGTTTAAATATATTGAGTGTGCCCTGTAAATTTCAAGTAATTCGGTCCAGCCTGAGATACAATGGAGGAGAGTTTGAAAAACACAGTTTTGAGAAAAACGCATTTAACGTTTCTAACTGCCAACTCAGCGCTCCGAACCGCTCTTTCTTTTACCTGCTGTATTTTTAAAACGACTTCGAATTTTTTAAAATCGCTTTACTACCGTATTCTAGACATGTTAAGGGAGCAATTTATGAAAAAAAACTAGCTGTAAGTGGAATTCTGTCTTTAGGCAATTACGGCATCGTGCCTTGAGGCAAATTGCTGGAACTTCCCGTACCGTAACGAGATGATCGAGGAATATTAAATGTTTTAAAATAGATTATTATAAATATTGTAACATTGTCTAATATTTATAAGAATTATATAAACTGAATTGAAAAGTTAAAATCACTTGTTTAAAGTATATTAGAACTTTAGTCAGAATTAAAAATAAAATCTGAATTATTTTTGATTATAAAAAATTAAAAAAAAAAAATGAATCATAATTTTTTCTTTCAAAATCAATTATTTTGTTAAGACAAGCAGAAAGTTCTTTGAATCAATTGAATCGAACGCTTCGTTCTCTCAAAAACTGCCATTTTTTGTACATTTAGCTCTGTATCTCCGAAATGGCTGGGCCTGCCTTTGCGAAAAACTAATATCCCTTTCTCCAATCATTACTAATTGAATGTTTTTAGATCATTCAAATCGGATGCTCCGTTCTCTCAAAAACTCGATTTCTATTTTCTGCACTCTTTGCTCCTTATCTCCGTAACTGCTGGACCTGCCTTTGCCAAAAACTAATCAGCACATCTTCTTATCAATAGAAATCGAAAGTTTTTTAAACCATTCAAATCGGTTGATCCGTACGCCCGAAAACGTGGGCGAAAATTTGTATCCATACATACATACACAACACATCCATTTTTTCTGAAGTATGCCAAAATGTTCAGAAACCTTCAAAACGTCGAGAATGTAAAAAATTTCAATTCCGATTTTCGGCCCATTACAATAACTTACCCTACGGGGCGTTAAAAAAACGATTTTTTCAACCCATCACATAGGAAGACAAACAAAGCCTCAAAAATTTTCAATGTCAAACAAGATAAGCGGTTTTTGTAATTTTTTCCATTTACTGCTACAATCTAACTATATTCTATAAATCAAATAATCTTAAAAAATTCTCTTAACAAACTCAGAAAGATTAACAAAATCCGAATATCGTTTCAGAGGATTATTCTTTCATACACAATTACAGAAAAATTTTATATATAAGATTTATAAAAATATATTATTTATATGAATCTTTTTTCCAGGGTGAAATCATTAGAAAGAAAGACTCCTCAGCACTACCTCTCCCCTTGATCGCCATGGGCACAATAGTCTCATTCCTGTGGCTCGTCTACGGTTTGGCAGCTCGAAACCATTTTCTGATTGTGAGTACTGTGCTGGTGTACTGGCTCTGCAATCCTCTAGTCTCGTATTAAATGAAGATTTGTTTTTTTTTAAATACTGAATGATTGATGAAGCTGTACGATATGGAATAAATTTTTATTTGTATTGAATTATTTAATGGTGTTTCAGTAAGTAAGAAGAGCCAGATACATATCAGGATAAATTAATTATCTTTTATCTTGTCAAAGTTATGTTTGAACAAGATTTAGTTCAATATTTTTATTTCCAGCAGGTCCAAAGCTGTTTAGGCTTGTTAATTCAAGTTTTACAACTGATGTTGATTGTTATTTATCCAAAAAGTGAAAAGGCTGAACAAGAGTTTTACTCATGACTTCACTTTTTTGAAACACATAATTTTTTTTTACTTTTATCAAGATTGTGCAATCAAGACTGTTTTTAATCAAGAAATGTTATTCAAGAATCAAGAAGTAATTAAGAAAAATGTAAAAGGTGTAGAAATGGGCAACAAGAAATATAAAAAAATAGTAAAATGGAATTAGCGATTTGTATTTGACTAGTGAAATTATTATTAGTAAAACTAACTAGTTATTAGTAAAAGATAATTATTACTATTATGATTCAAAGGCATTTTGTGGGAGCGTGGGTATTATGATTCAAAGGGAGGAATATTTGCCACCAACTTGCAATTTGTATACATAATTCTTTATTTTACCTAATAGAACATTGACAATTGTAATTAAAAAACATATTCTAAAACTAATAATGAAACAATACAAAATTTACATGTTTTAGCTATGTTTGTGCACAATATTTTATTATTAGTGTCTATATTTATATTATTACTTTACTTTTTAGGCAAAGGTAACATTTATTGTTATTAATTATTATTATTACTTTTTAGGACAAAAACACAGCTGGTTTCGTGATCTGTCTACTACAAATACCTTTGCTTGTGATATACCCGAATAACCATCAAACAAGAAATGAAAAAGATT